CACATTGACCCGAGGTTTGTTAAAAACACTTGCTGAAAGATACTAATTTAAAAACTAACAAAATCAATGTTCGACAATCTATCTCCGGATCATGAACTCAAGGGACCGGCCGATTTTCTCGATAAAGGGAGGTTCTTTCTTACACCACATCAATGACTCGATAAACTGCGATTACATTCGCGGGTGCGGAAATGATGTACTTACACCGCGCGGTAGGTCCGGCGATGAGAAATTAATAATGGACCACTAGACAAGGTACGAATTTCAGCACTCTGATACATGTTTCTTCACCAAAATTTTATGTAAAACATGATGCGCACTACAAAAATTACCGAAATCAACTCCTTCCGAAGATATTGAATGACTCTTGATGCGTGAATTGAAACCACCCGCTCATGAAAACTCAATGCTCTACGTGATTCACATCGCGCGCTAAACGTTGTCATGATTCATGAACGTCTCTACGATAAAAAAATCTGGCAACCTACATCTTGACGCTTTGGCTAAGCTACAGTAAACTACTTACAGTTTGAAAAACACATGGTGGGAAATGAACATTGCTCGATTGAGAAGCTTGCTGAAACCGTCGTAGTGCGCGATTTGACTCACTTAGAGCTTTGAGTTTCTTGTGAGCGGGCAGTTCAAATTCCTCGTAACCAATGTGAATTAAAAATGTTATATGTATCTCCATTAAGAATTGGTTTCAGTAATTTTTGTTGCGCGAATCGTGTTCTACGTAAAATTCTTGTTTAGAAACATGTACAGTGGACTCTCGATCATTCGAACCTCGATAATTCGAAAACCTCGTTAATTCGAAGGAAAGTCTGTTCCCCTTGAAAATCTCTCGATAATTCGAAAAAAATCAATGTATTTTTCTCCCCTCGTTATTTCGAAATTTTTAAGCTGGCGCGGCCCTCTATATTTCGAAATTGGGACGAAAATTCTCTCTGTAATTCGAAGTGTGGGAAGTAAATAAGGGCCTCCCTCTATAATTCGAAATAAGACGGTACATTCCCTCTACAATTCGAAGTCAACTGTGTATGTACCTGGATGTCTGAAAGAGCTTGGCCTTTGGCCGAAAGACCTTTTTGCGTAAATCCGTCCATTTGTCCCTCTATAATTCGAATTCAGATGGCGCCTTCCCTCTGTAATTCGAACCTCTCTAATTCGAAATTTTTCCACATGGAATCTCTTTAATTCGAACTCTCTTTATTTCGAAACCTCGCTAATTCGAAGAAAAAGCCGATTCCCTTCAATTTCGAATTATCGAGAGTCCACTGTATCAGAATGCTTAAATTCGTACCTTGTCTAGTGGTCCATTTTCAACGATTAAAGCACGCATCGTACTGAACGCGCAATGCGGGAAGTATTCATACGGTCTTGTAGGCGCGAAACGCATTCGCGCTGACCGCGCACTACGTTTGGCGCGATTGAATGAACACGTAGAGTCAGCATTTTTCAGCTTGTTACTACAATTAAGACCACAACATTTTTTGCACCCTCTGTACGGATTACTGTCATTTATAATGATAATTCACAAACTGTAAACATCATGCGCGCACTTCTTGTGAAACTAGTCTGATTGGTCAGCCGCCTGAAACTCGTGAACAACGCTGCCGTTTAAAGTTAAAACGCTGGATCTCCATTCAACGCTTTTTCGATTTTTTGCGAACAAAATGTTGTTTTACCAAATGCCTATCAAATATTCATCCTTCATTTTTTCGATACACATCCACCATACCACTCGAATCTAAAAATGAAAAAATTGAAAAAAATTGAATTTTTTTGTAATAGAACAGTATGTGCTGGAAAGAAATACAACATTTTGCGAGAATTTACGGTATTTTCGCTGTGGCGGTCGTCGTTGTTAGCGATTTTGGGCATCTAAGGGTTATCATCCGGATTGCAGAATGGTCATTTTTCGTTTGAGCATCCGGATTTTAAGCGCAACACCTTTCATTTGCAGTGGCGGTCTTGCCTATGTGGGGATGAAAGGTGGCCGGCAAAATTTAACAGTGAAACCTGGCTGTTGGATGAAGGGGCTCCTGATGCATGAGCTGGCACATACGTTGAGCCTATGGGATGAAGTGACTCGACCCGACCGGGACAATTACGTTGACCTGTTTACCGATAACATTCTTCCAGTAAGATTAAGATTATATTAAATCGACGATGCAATTAGAACGTGTGTTCTGATTGAGAAGTTGCTCGTCAAGTTTTGTGCATCTGTGCATGGAGATTGATTTTTAGCATAACGTAATGGATCGTTTCCATTACGATCCCAACTCCAAGAGATTTTTTGGAGTTCTGAGATTCGTTTCAATGAAAACCAGCGCTTTTCGGCTACATGAGAAAAATGACTTAAATAATTGCAAATCTCTGAAAGTGCATCATCTCAGTACAGCTTCACATTTTCGGATATGCAACATTGCGATCGTGTAAGAGTAATTACAATTTGCTATATCATGTAAGTGGGGCTGACTGTACGGAATAATCTTGAGACTTGCAAAACTTGATTTTCTCTGATCAATGTGTACCTGTAAATGTAGTTGAGCGTAGGTACATGTGCAGGTATTTAATTGAGGAATAATGATTATCTATAAGCGGGATTTTTCAAGCATTCCATTGATAAAAACGACTTGCACCCTTCTTTCTTCTCCTTGCAGGAAATGCTGTGGGCTTTCGCTCCAGTTGATAGGAAGCGTATTAATCTATTGGGACAGCCCTACGATTACGAATCTATTATGAATTACAGCGAGACCGCCTTCTCCAAAGTAAGTAACTTACCGTTTTTTTTTCTTTGAAAGTTGTTTAATTGTGACGCACACTTCTTGTGAGAATAATTTTTTTTAAATTGTGATTTTTGGCAAAAACACCTCTTTGGTGCAACAGGATCTAATTAGCTTTCAAGAAAATCCCATCTTATTATATCGAAACCGGATAAACCTTTTGATTTGCCTCAGCTAAAGGCTGAGGCAAATCAAAAGGTAGATTTTTCCTGTGTGCGATAACTTTGCCGGTGTGCGATAACTTTGCGACGGAGCCGGCGTGCCGCGACGCTTCGAGCTACTATTTCACCACGGAGGTATTGCAAAATATCATACGAGATTGAAGAGACACCAACGTATCATGATTGATGGCATCTTTCATAAGCACGAAGTTCCGTCGCAAATTAAAGCGAGTGACAACGACAAAAAGAGAGCGGTAATAGCACAACTTAGTAAGTTCCAGTATCCGTATTAAATAACATTTAACATGATTTTTGAACTTCTTTACAGAAAAAGTGACTTGATTCAAGCACAATAATGCTCAAATTTACCGCCGAGAAGATTTTCTTATGAATCAATACAGAAAATAATGCTTGTTTAAGATGGCTCGATGCTCATTTAAAAAAAGAAGGCCACATATATCAAGCAGAAGCCTGCTTTCATTCGTCGATTTTATTCTTGATTCAGAATAACATCCTCTTGACGGCATACTCAAGAATGTCTCTGCCTAAATTGAGTTACTTTTTTCTCTAAAATTCAAGCATTATGCCAAACTTTATTTAATACAGATGCTAAGACTCAGTGAGTTTTTGAACTACTGCTCTCTTTTTGTGCCATAGTATCTTGATTTATTTTGCAAGGAAAGCTCCGTGCTCTTAAAGGATGCCTGCCATTCTTGATATGTTGGAGCACCTTCAATTTTGTATGATACTGTGCAACACCTCCGTTGCAAAATAGTTCCTTAAGGCGCCGTGGCACGCCGCGGAGCAGCGGCGGCGGGCGACCAGCACGCAGCGCGACACGCGCATTGGCGCCTACAAACCTAACGGGATACTTCAAGCTTTGCGCATTGCGTGAAGTATCCCCTTAGGTTTGTAGGCGCCTGAGCGCGTTCCGCGCTGGCCGCCTGCTGCGATGCTCCGCTTTGTGTTAGGCTCTAATATTTAAACTCAGCGTTTTTAAACTCATGATTTTGAAATGTTTGCACACTCTGCATGGATTATTCTCATTTGAATTGATGAAAAAATATGTATTTCGAGAAAATATAACGTGTGTGTTGTAAATATTAAGATGGTTTCGTATCAAAGGATCCCGCACACCTCTTATGAGAAAGTGCACCATAACGGAACGTTGATTGTTATATGGCATTCGATTCTCCTCGAGATGCTGATCAAAAGTTCACCATTGCGCCAACTTTCTATGATGCACCGTTTCCACAAAAAAACGGCCGAAAAGATTCGATTATTCGGCGATGAAGAGCCAGTAAAATTCCTCATTTCAGCACTCGAGTAAACGGTCGGCTGTATGTCAACAAGGAAATCAAGGGAACTCCCGCACCGAGCGGCAGTCTCATCTCGGATTCCGCACACCATTTTGCTCGACCACCAAAATCAGTTTCTCTCTCTCTCCCGCTCTATTCACCTCTTCCTCATGTCTCTAAATCGAATGCTTTGTTATTTTTGATTCATTGTCTCCGAATAATTGAATCCTTTCGGCCGTTTTTTGCGGAAATGGTTCATCGTAGAAAGTTGGCGCAACGATAACTTTTGATCAGCATCTTCAGGAGAATCGAATGCCATATAACAATTAACGTTCCGTCATGGTGTACTCTCCCATAAGAGGTGTGCGGGGTCCTTTAATGATTTCCAAAGCCCATTAATTTTTGGTCTTATATTTTGTGCTTATACTGTGCTGCGGCGTTGTAAACGCCCAACAAAACGCTCAAAATTGGACGTATTTGACACTAAAAGATTGATGTACAAATGGGTTAAAACCAAAGATTGTGGGCTTCTTGGTGTTTTCCTCTTTTATTTATTTTTGTAGTTTCCATCAACACAACTATGGCTCATTGATATTACTATCGCTGCCATCGCCTGAAAAAGGTTTTATAAATATTTGTCACGTTTGATTGATATCATTTCAAGGAGACTTGTAGAATTATTTTTCATCTCTCTCAATAAACTACAGGATCCTTCCAAACTCTACACAGTCAGAGCTAAAAATGGACGTAAGATGATACATGCCAGTGAGAAGGACCACATTAGTAAGGGAGATGTTCAGAGAGTCAGGGACCTTTACAGGTGTAACGGTGAGTCCCCAAAATATTGATACACGTTTTCGGACAAATTTTGGATGACTTTCACGGTCAGGTTTGAACAGATTACAAAGTTCATGAAGAGCCGTTTATGAGAAAATTAATGGTGAAAATAGGATCGCTGTACTTTTCACTTTACAATGTACCAGTAACACAGGCATGCGTCCCCGAAAACACTACGTAACGTTCAGTGGCGTAGCGAGTTTTGCGATATATCGATTGATCTGCCATTTGAATCAATGGAAAAGGATCAATTAACAGGGTGTTCGCAACGAACACCTTAATAATCGATTCTTTACCATAGCTTCAAATGGGAATATATCTATAATCGATCATTCACGCCTCACCACAGGTAACGTTCACTGCAAGCCCCTCCTCCTCAAACTAGCTTTTTGGGAGGAATTCCGGACGAAAATCACCATTCCCCTTCGATTTTGTATCTTGCATTTTCGAAAAATTTGCGATACGCGTCCACTCTTGTTGCGTTACGTAACGCAACCTTGAATGTATTTCTCCATTTTAACGCACCAGTAACGCAAACTCTGACTTCCTTCCCCCGAGAAATTACGTTTTTTATGAATAATATCGAAGCAATAAACATGGTGGAAATTGCCTTTAAGGAACGCTTAACATACAAAAATCAAAACCACACGTAAATGAATGAATGCAACACATCGCACCATCGCCATCCTGACATAAGGACGTATCTACACTGGGCGATGAACCCTGTCGTTCATATAAAACAATGCTTTCCCGGGCTCATTTCTATGAGCAGTTACGCCCTTATGTCAGCCAAGCGACGATATAATTATACGCATTGTGTTGAAGATTACTGCTTGGTTTCCTATTTTCGCCATCGTTAAAAAAATTGAGGATTCTGCCATAATAGCCGGATCCACGGTGGGGAGTGGAGGGCATGTGCCCTTCCCCCCTTTGCCCGTTAGAAAGAAGGAAGGAAAAGGGAACAAAGAGAAAGGAAGAAACGGAGGAAAGAAGAGGGAAGAACGCTTCGATTTGATAAATATTCATGATAAAATTGACTCAAACTGCAAATTAGATGCTTAAAAATTTTGAAATTTTTCCGGAGGAGCCCCCCCCCTTGTTCAAAGTGTGTGGCTTCGGCAGGGGGAAGGGCAGATCATCGATGCACCCTAAGTGATAAGTAATAAGTGCAGGTATGCAATAGAATCTGGTAAAGAAAATGATCAAGATAGAAAATTACGAGTACTTAATGAATAGTTTCCAAATTGATGGATGTCTTCTTCTAGGTGCACGACAAAAACCGTGTTTTCCTGTTGATATTGTTTGTCACTTTAACCGTCATAACTGTGGATTCAGAGAGTCCGCTTGGGCTTGGATTCCTGAAAAAGGTATTGAGCTTTTTATGATTATTAACATTTTTTAGTAGATTACTTTTTATCTCAAAACGTGAAATGTTAAAGAATAAAATGGCATTGAACAACTTTGCTTTGATTTTTGAGGCTTGATAGACTCCCACAATTTTTCCCCAAAATAAATGTTGGTTAAAATTTTGTAAAGATTGTCCACAAGTAGGTGGTAGTGGAGGAGGTCTCACACTGTTCTCCTATGCGGAGAAATCAAAGCCAGAAAAACCCAAGAATAAAGAATTAGTGTTTAAAGATGAGCCCTGGTGAGTTTCAGGGCAATGAAGACCGTGCGATTTTTAGTGTTTATTTCTTCTCTCTCGTGCACACCTGTGCACTTGAGGATTTGAAAATGCAGTGGTAAATTTTGAATTCTCCTTTCCACAAAATATCCATCCAACCTCCCAAAACAAAAAATTACGGGCACATAATTTTTATCAATCAAAGTGTTCCTTTCGTTGTTCATCGAAATTTTCGAGCAGGCAACTTTATTTTACATTCAATGGATGAAAAGTTAAATGTGAGAGTACACTACTCTCAGCCTTTAGATTTCATCAGTAACAGTAATGACTTCCAAAATGATGTCAGTATATTATTTTTCTCGGTGCATTAATTTCACTGATTTTTCAGGGTCAGCATTAAAAACTGGTGGGTATCTGGAATGTAAGCTAAATGTTAAGATTTCCCGTGTGGACCATATTAGGAGCATCAATTTTCACGGGTTGAGCGATCTCGATTCTAAACGCGGACCAGAAGGATGCATAAAGTTCATGTACCAATTTGAGGGAGTTCAGGAAAGGTCTTTGGCCCTAGAGGTAAGTGTCAAATGTTAAAGAAATTGAATTAAAAGAGAAAAATGTATATTCAGTGAGATGCTGGAATAAAAAGTTAAGTCAGTACGTAGGCTTTTCCAGCACAGTGCTACATCTAATTTGCGGAAATTAATCTAGCTGTTGAAAATCAGCTTTCAGGAGGTTTTAGCTCAAAGCTTGAAAATGAAAATTGCCAGTTATACCTAATAATTTTATGAGATGATAAATAAAAGAACTCTTTAAATTTTCGTGCTTAATTCATACTGAAATTGTACATTAACTTTGTTTTCGTAAAATCTGCCACAAGTTACAGTATTCTGGTCAAAAATGTGTCTAATTTTTCTTGGAAATCTTGAAAATTGCATATACACGGTTTCGAAAAAGCGTAGTCACTAAATAGATGCTTGACCAAATAAGCTTAATTAGATCTCAATAGCAGGATGGTAGAATAAATATGCAATTGGTTGATTATACTATTCTGAGGAAAAATCAAGATCTTAAGCTATCGATATGGACCTTAATTTTTTTAAATCTGTTTTCCAATAGCTAGCACCGTTATTTCAGACCAGATATACAAACAGAAGTTTTTGGATATTCTAGGTATGTTCTCTCAGACTGATTGGCTGGTATGTTTCTTACCTTTTAAACGCAAACCACTTATGAGGGCGGAAAGAAGGATAAAAATATAACATTGCCGATTTCATTTTTGGCCGAATAGCCATAACATTTTCCAAGCATTGTATCTTATTTTAGTTCCTGAAGTACAAGAGCGTTATATTCAAGAGAGAGCGTTCCAATGATGTAAGAAATAAAGTATCAACTAACCCAAATTTGGTTCATAAAAGCATCTTTGTTCTCGAAGTTCGTTTTTTCACTCGTTTAATTCTAAAAAGTGTTTCTCTCACCCCCAGTCGTGAGAGTATTTTAAGTGATCATTTTTTAAATCCACATATTTCGTCAATTTTCAACTGAATTCCATCGTCTAGTGAATATTATTTTAAATTATTTAATTTTTTTGAAAAGTTAAGAAAGGAACTGGGTCACCAATATTCATCCCCCTCCCTTCCTCCATAACGATAGTGATTCAGGAGAAAAGGGTGAAAATCGGCAAATTCTGGTGTTCATTTTATCGTGCATCATCGAAAAAGGAAAAAGCTAAGATGGCGTCTAAGAACATTCCTCCCGCGCTGCAGCTGCACTTACAAACACGGCTTCCGCCGAGATCCATCGCGTGCATATTTCAATATAATATAAAATAAGACTATATTTTTACATAGAAACAAGATTTAGAGTTTGATGTAGAGTTTGATGTAGAGCTACATTTTAATTGCTCTTTTTCTTTGTTGATCAGTTATTAAGAATGGGGCTGAAGACAACTTTTGATGACAGGTCGGTCGATGCAATCAGCATTTGGTCGGGGATAAACTTTGGATCGGCAAATTGGTCTCGGGCTGTCGTTCCTATTGACGTGTCAACCCCATTTGTGGTGAGAAGTCCATTTTAACGATTGATATTTTCCCCGAGGTAGAATTGAAATCTGCGTCAAAGTGACAAAAAATGTATAAGTGCGTGAACACGACCCAGGTACAAAAAAAGGAAAGGGAAATTTTCGCAATCAAATGCATGACTTTAAAGCGGAAATCGGAAAGGTATTCGAACTTTATTTTGCAGTGAGGGAATACTATTTCTGACTAATTTAGAGAACTTTTATGGATGAGCTAGAAATGGTAGTTCCTTTTTAGCAAAATTAGTTAAGTTAGTAAATTTCTGTTACGGGCCGCGCGCGGTGTCCCAGGGTATGCTTTATTTCAATGACTTTCAAAAGAAACATTAAACATTAAGCTATGCTCCGCTAAAAAGTTCCAATATATCTATTGCCAAAGTGCAAAATCACGTATCTTCATTACGGCATGTTAAAATTTTCGCTTCTATCATATCAGAGAAACAAGCAACTTTCATACCTTGAAATTTACACTGAATTTTTTCTGCTAACAGATAAAAAAAATCAAAGCAGTTTTAAAGAAAATTACGTGGACTAGTTTCCCAAAGATATTATAGAGAATAACAAGAAGTATGCACTTTCGCAAACGGAGATACGTGATTTCGCACTTTGGCCATCGATATATACAATTTAAGACTGTTTTGCATTTGTTCAGCGCTTTGAGGCTCCGACAGACCCTCGAACTCTTATGGGATTTTACCCAGGAAATTAATTTTCATGAAGTACAAGTCATCAAGAAGTTGACTTTTTCTCTCCCCCCCCCCAACAAAAAAACCCTGGAAGTGCTTGGAAAAATCCCGCAAGAGTTTGAGAATCCGCTGGAATCTCCCAACGTTGACCTCATCAGAAATTGTTCATCGTGTTAGCTGAAAGCCCCCTTCTTATAGCCGGCTTCAATTTTTCAGCTTCAATTCAAATTCAAACTCTTGGAAGAATCGAACAGAGGCTCAGTAAAAGTGGATAATCTGGAAGTGAGGTACACCGCCTGTGATCATCCATCGCATGCCACCTCGTTTGGATTGAAAGTCACTCAGCTTAAATCCTTGTCGATAAAATCAATGAAATCATTCAAATATATGATGCCGCCCTCACTAGGATCCTTCAGATCGTCCGTCGTTGGATCTTCCTCTTCAAACCTATCCAAAAATCCGTCGTCCAAAGCTGGTTGGCTTAGGTCCTTGCCGAGCAGAGTTTTCAAATCCAAGAAATCCCAATCGCTCGGATCATCTAGGTATTCATTCGGATCTTTTTCCTCAAAACGATCCGGTGTGTCAACACCGGATATTCCTAAACTCTCAATTGAAAAGTAAAAAGAAAAAAATCCTACAGGAAGTCATATAATGAAACTTGAGATCAACCTACGAAAGGTACAAAGATCATCAATTCCAACGAAGTGTTAAGTAGCTATGAGATTGCAAACAATATTTGATACAGATTGTGAAATTTTAAAACTTTTAAAGCTGATCCACGTATTGATGACTCACAGTATTGGATTAACTAAAGCATCTAAACAAGTTTTAAGTATGTGTAAACTCTATTTTTGATCTTAATGATCAAGAGTAGGATCAAAACGCTGATAATTGCACAAATGCGAATCTCGTGATCAAATGTCATTTCCCAATCAGAGAATGCTTGATCTGGCCATATGAGATTAAACTGTGAATCTTATCTAATGATCCAAATCCTCCCAACAATAAGTTTAAAACACTAATTGCAAAAATGTGACGAAGTGTCAATCCTTAGTTCCAAAACCGCGAATCTCGGCACTTCTGCCGTATTTCCAAACAGTTCGAGAAATTATTCAAAATGCTGAAGGAGTCTGAAAAAGCATCTCATTCTTGTTATCTCCAAGAATTATTACCCTTCTACCAACAATGAAGAGGAATGTAGACAGTTTTTTTCACTCTCCTAGAAAATCGTGTTTTACTGTGTTTTACTCGTGTTTTTTTGTACTTTTACCATCAAGATACTTCGTTGGCATATTTTTGAGATGGAATCGTCTTTTTCTTAATGTTACCTATTGGGCTTCAACTCAAATATCTCTTGACCTAGCCAAACTGCAAATGACATTTTTGGGGATCTCAAGTCTTAATGATCATTAATTAATCACTTGAGAAGCATCAAATAATTTCGAATAACATTTTAGAGCTGAAAGTTCCTCCTTGCCGAATTTTAACAGAAGCGTATTCATCTCATCCGGAGGTAATCATTTTCGTAAAAATATTTGTAAATTAATCAGGCCTAAGTGCGTTTTTTTCACTTTGAGTGTCATGTTACCCCTTATGCTGTGCCATGCTGCCTTTTCAAAGGAGACCACCGGATAAGTTACCGAATTTTGCAAAATATTTATTGATAAAATATGACGTTCTCACTGGCTTTCAGATACTAATTTTTTATGACTTGCCTTGAAAAATGTATATTTTGTGACATGAAACCCGTGGATATTTTTGTAATTTGTGGGTACAAGATATATTGAATCGAAAATAGGAAACCACAGAATTGGATGGCCGCCTGTTTTTTTGAAAGGCCTGAACTCCGGAACCGGTATCTCCAATAAAATACTAATTTTTTTCTCTCTTTTGTGCTTTTTTCTTGTAAATATGTTAGTCAATGGCACTTGGCATCTAGAAAAGTGTTTTATGAGCTGCTTGCCCTGAAAAAGTCATCCGTTCTCCCCCTCCCTCCCTCAATAAAATATAAAGGCCCAATCAGAGAGCGTGTTTTCTATCTCAGCACCCCGTCGCTTTTTCGAGAACTTCCGATTGGAATTTCGAGGTTTCCATTTGCTTGCAGATGCGTCGATCCATACGTGTTACTAAACCGTAAAAAGGGAAAATAGAAAAAAAAACCGAGTTGGTGATGTGTTTTCGAGCTCGCTGATTCCAGTATAGAACGCCATAGTTGAAAAAAAAGTTGAGTGATTTCAAGCTCAAGGGCAGATTGTATAGCTTTTTAGGGACATCCAATTTGGGTTCCACATCTCAGTTAGATTTAACGGTATTGGATTTTGCGAGATGCTACGTTGAGTTCAATGACAAGTGTGATCTACTGATGAGGTCTAAAAAGACCCAAACCGGTATAGATCTCTCCGCGTTACCTCAACTTAATATTCCAATGCAATCTGCCTGAGCTGAACACTCCCCCCCCCCTAAGTTTTGTACTGGTACTCATTATATTACAGTTAAAACACTTTTTGACTCTAATTGTAATTTTTGGAATTTCTCGGCTGTTTTCCCCGCGAAACGATGTGGACCCAGCAACATTTCTCCACCTTGTTACATACAGTTTCGGGCCATTTTTTGCGTGTTTTTCCTCGCTGAATTGAGCTGTAAAAATAAAAAACACAAAAAACCATTCGCAAACATTTTGACGTGTACCAGGCGTGCAATTGCAAATGGATCAAACAGGAAACGTCACCAAAATTTGTCACGCAACTTAAATCAGATTTTTTTTTTTTCTTTGGAAAAAAAACTTGCGTCACAATAAATTGGCTCGGAGTTTGTGGATGCGCGACATAATTTGGTCCCGGTAACTTCGTGATGTTGTTGATTCCTTTGATTTTACTCCTAGTATTTGCCGACAAAATAGCCGCGAGTGAAAAAGGAACTAAAGTGCTGTCCACTGATATTGAGGTTGAAGATGAATTCGCCACAGTGCGCAACAATCCTGATCCTAAGGTAAGAACCAGACACAACACTATCCTGCCGTCTTCAACAAAAACGCCGTAACTTTACTCAAACAGTTTTTTTGTTTTTCCAGCACGTACTGCTCAATTCCAAGAAAATTCAATTGCCACAGGGTTTCATATTTTTATTTTTAGTTCCTAATGGTGTGGCGGAGTTGAATTGAAAAAAATGAAGGATGAATATTTGTTAGGTTTTTTGTATAACAGCGTTCTGTTAGAAAAAAGTTTGAAGCGTGTTCAATGGAGATACGGCGGCGTTTTCACTTTGGACGGCAGAGCTGAAAAATGGGAGATTCAAAATAAGTGGGAGGCCTGGTATGTTCGTCTCAGCTGTCATCTGGATTTTAAGATATAAATGTAGCTAAAAGCTGTGACCCCTATTCCAGCTAATATTTTGCCCTGGGTGTTGAGTCAATCATAGGCTTCTATGTAGACCAAATAAGGGGCTCGAAGGGCAAGGCAAGTAATTTACAAATTGGCTGTATTTCTGCCAAACGGAACTATGTGCATTACGGCATGAGCCATGAGACCCATCAGGATATATGCAGAACAGGGCTCACGTCTTGATGCACAAAGTTCCGTTTGACAGAAGTACGTCTAATTGTGATTTAGAGACATTTTTAAATTAACATAAAAGTTTAGTAATACGCATGCAATGTGATGAAATTCCTTTGAAAACCGATTTTTTTTTTTTTTTTTTTTTTTTTTGGGGGGGGGGGGGTCTGCTGTGTATCCCTTGCTGGCGAAGGCAAGTTGACCGCGGCGCGGATTGTCTCATCGAAGGTGTGGTGTATATCTGGTCAACATTTCACAATGAGTTACTACCGTTTCTGGTTCATCCAAAAACGCTTCTTGGTATAGGGAAAATAATGGTATACACGTTGTTTCTAATCCAAGCTAGAAATTATAGACCCTAGAATTGCAACATTTAGTCCAACTCTCATACACTGAGGGGGAAGGGGGATTTTTTATCTTTTTACAAATTTGATCACATGTTTTTCGGTTTTTGGCCGCTGCTCCGTGGAAGAAGGTACCTATGTAAATTTAAACGATTCCGAGCTTTCAGGGTACAATCGCGCGTTAGTTCCATGATTCCATTGCAAACCGCAGATGTTGAGACGCCTTGTCATATAAAGTACGCAAGGTAGGACTTCCATTTTTTTATAACGGCTGATCACAGATCCTTTTTTGGAGTTACCCCGAACGTCAAATTCTCAATTTGTTTACAAATACGACGGAGGTACCTTTGTTTTCTGGGCACTGGTATGATAGACGTCTAAAAAAGGCATTTCTCTTTAGTATGTAAATACCTCACATTATTAAGTTGGTGCGCAACTTTCTAAATAAAAGATATATTTTTCTTCATCCCGGCGACAGGCAAAGAAAACAAGCAGTGAACTCCAACACAATGTGTTGATAAGGCGCGTCATTAACTCGCACATATCAACCCCTTTAGTTTTCATTTACAGAGATTTCAAAATAGGCAAACAGCATAAAAAGAGAATTCACGATCCAACACTGCGAGGTCAAAGACGCACCTTGACGAGACCGTGTATTGTGAAAGTAGAAAGCTATTCGATCGAATTTAAGTTTTTTGATCTGCCTCAAGCAAAATCTTATCAGATTCCTGAAGACAAGTGCTACGGAATAATTTAAGCGAAGAAAGGAAAAATTCTGTCGAACTCCTAGAAGATAAAGTCGATTTAAAGGTATTTTGGGGCTAAAATACCCAAATCACCGGTAGTAAAAATCCCGTTATATTATTGAAAAGAAATTGACTCGATATAAATGCAATTGCATTAAATACGTCTTGATTTTGTTATTTTAAACGTCTTTCCATGCAAAGAAGTTCAACCATGTCGTTGCTTTATTCATTCATGAATTGAAAGTAAGCAATCTACATCCCGAAAATCTACTGATTTGCCGTAAAAAATTGCAGAAACTTGATATACCAGGTCGATGCACCCACTCGTTGAATTTACCAACCAATTTTGTGAGTGCAAATGTGTAAGAATCAATAT